CCAGGGAGGCAATAAAGGTGATGGAGCATCTGATATACCTCATAAGTCAAATAATAACAGGTTGTTTGAATCTTAGCTAGCCAGTTAGACTACGAAGCTGAAATTAACCAGGTGCAGTGGTGCACACCTATTGTCTCAGCACACTTAGGAGGCTGAGGTAGGAGGACCACTTGAGCCTAGGAGTTCTAGACTAGCCTGGGCAACATAGCAAGACCCATCTCTTAAAAAAGAAAAAAGCGCAGTAGCAGCTGAAACCGGGAGAGGATGCCATACTCATTTGTAGTAAGTTTCAATGGTCCACAGTAAGACCAGAAGAAGCAGTCTGGGCCCTAATATCCCCTCTAAAGAGCCAGCTAGTCAAAGCTCTCCTCCGGCCAGAACCCTACACTGAGGAGAGCTTCTTGAAATAGAATTCAAACTGAGTAGTACAGAGATGATAGAAACAAAGGAAAAAAATGTCCCAGATAAAATTTGGAGGTGAACAGACCAGGAAATCTCTGGTAAACTGCCATGTTTTGAACATCTACCTAAGAAAAAATTTTTAAGCGAAGAAGATGTTTAAAATATAAAATGTGCTATTATTCTAAATCAAGCTCCATTATAAAAGTTTAAGAAACTTAATTTACATAAAAATGAGCAAAGCATAGGATTAAGGTCAAAATCCATACAACTATTATAAGAAAAAGAAATAAGAAATAGAATAATGCCACGTAGACAATGAAGTCAGCCAGAAAGATATCTACAAAACAGCTGAGAACTCAAACCTAATATTTTAAACTAGCTAAATTCATTTTATAAAGATACAATCAATGAAGAATAATGTGTTGGAGTTGGAAAAACTCAGAAAAGAAGATGATCAGACTCAGAAAATTAGAATAAAAATTCCCAAATGGGACACAATAGGTACTACAGTAATAGGGTATTGGGCAGGTGGGAGGGGGAGGGGGGTATATACATACATAATGAGTGAGATGTGCCCATCTGGGGATGGTCATGATGGAGACTCACGACTTTTGGGGGAGGCGGAGGGAATGGCATCAAGGCTGGTTTCAAACTCCTGACCTTGAGCAATCCTCCCGCCTTGGCCTCCCAGAGTGTTAGGATTATAGGTGAGAGCCACCATGCCCGGCCTTAAATTTTTAAATATTTCCCTCTTTAAATCATGTTTTTACTTGACTAAACAACTATACAGTCTCATTTTATTCAAAGGAGATGTCTCCTGTTCTTCTTTGTCAGCAGCTAAGGGCAAAAGCATGAACGCTGATATGCAGTGTTCACAATTAACATCCTTTTTTAATTTTTACAACTTTATTGAGGTATAAGCAACATACAATAAACTGCACATGAAATTAGAATATACAGTTTGATGAGTTTTGACATATATACACTTTTGACACCATCGCCATAATCGAGAGAACATCTGTAACCCTATGTTGTCATGACCCATTGTAATCCCTCCCTCCCTACTCTCTCTGCTTTCCTCTCTTCCTACTCTAAAAAACCACTGATCTGATTTAAGTCACTATAGATTACTTTGCATATTCATAATTTTATATAAATGAAATCATTTCTGGTCTAACTTCACTCAGCATAATTACAGTATTTTGTAATTTCTCCATGTTATTGCATGTATCTTTTTATTGCTGTGGAGTATCCCACTGTGTGGATATACCACAATTTTTTTATCCATTAACTTGTTGATGGACATTCAAGTTGTTTGCAGTTATTTGTTATTACATATAAAGCTACTGTGAAAATTCATGCATGAGTCTTTGTAAAGATATATGCTTTTATTTCTTCTAGGTTAATACCTAGCAGTGGAATGACTAGATTTATGTTTCACTTTTTAAGAAACTGAGTTTTCCAGAAGCATTTTCCATTCTCACCAGCAGCGGATAAAAGTGCCAGTTGCTCCAGATCCTTTATGTCCCCTTTTCTGCTTTCTTTTGAGTTATTTAAACATTATCTAGTATTCCATTATAGTTTATGTATTGTGATTTTGATTATATCAACTTTATACAATGTTTTGGGGATTGCACAGGAATTACAAAATATATACTTAACCTTCCATTGTCTACATAGAATCATTATTTTACTACTTTATTTGGCATATAGAAACTTTATCACCCTTTACCCTCCACGAAATATATTTTTGTCTTATATGTTAATATTTACGTATATTTAAAAACCCCATCAGACAATGTTACAAATTTTTTTAACAACCAAACACATTTTGAGGAAAAGAATATTATATTTACTCAGATATTTACCATTTCTGTTGCTCTTTCTTCATTCCTCATGTCTCAAGTTTCCTTCTTATATCATTTCCCTTTTCCCTGAAAACATTGTATGAATTTTTAACCCGAAAAGGAATCTGAAGCCATTCAAATCATTGTTTCCCAAAGGTAATTTGTCATTTTTCCCTGATTGCTTTGAAGACTTTGTCTTTAGTTTTTATTTATTCATTTATTTATTTATTTTTTGAGACAGAGTCTCACTCCATTGCCTGGGCTAGAGTGCCATGGCATCAGCCTAGCTCATAGCAACCTCAAACTCCTGAGCTCAAGCAATCCTTCTGCCTCAGCCTCCTGAGTAGCTGGGACTACAGGCATGCGCCACCATGCCGGGCTAATTTTTTGATATATTTTTAGTTGGCCAGTTAACTTCTTTCTATTTTTAGTAGAGATGTGGTCTGGCTCTTGCTCAAGGCTGGTTTCAAACTCCTGACCTTGAGCACGCTCTGCCTGTCTATAGTTTTTAGAAGTTTGATTATGTGTCTGGGTGTGGATTTCTTTTGATTTATCCTAGTCAGAGTTCATTCTGCTTCTTGAATTTGTAGATTTGTGTCTTTTCCACAAACTTAGGAAAGTTTTTAGCTATGTTTTCCAATATTTTTTGATACCACACTTTTTCTCCTCTCCTTCTAGAATCCAGTGACATAAATGTTAGTCCTTTTATAATCATTCCTCCAGTCCCTGAGGCTCTGTTCTCTTTCCCCCCAATCTCTTTTCCTCTATGATGTTAGATTATGTAATTTTAATTGATCTGTTTTCAAGTTCACTGACTTTCATCTGTCATCTCCCATCAGCTATTGAGACCACTAAGTTAAAATAATTTTATATTGAAAAATTCTGAAATTTCCATTTGGTTCTTATTTATATCTCTGTTTCCTTCCCAAGACTTTCTATTTTAACATTAGTTTCAGGTGTTTTAACGATACTCCACGCAAGCATTTTATAATGGCCACCTTAGAGTCTTTGTCAGATAATCTCAATACCTGTGTCATCTCAGCTTTGACTTCTATTGATTGCCTTTTCCTATGCAAGTTGAAATTTCATGGTTCTTCATATGCAGGGTAATTTTTTGTTTTGTTTTGAGATAGGGTCTTGCTCTGTCACCCAGGCTGGAGTACAGTGGCACTAACATAGCTAGGATTCTAGATGTGAGCCCCTGTGCCCAGTGTACAGAGTGATTTAGGATCACATCCTTGTCATTTTGAATACTCTTAAGAGACTTTGGGTCTTGTTTTAATTCTATGAGGAATGTTTTAACAGACACTTGGCAAGATTAGGTTCACACTGCAAGTTCTTATGTTCTTATATGGACTATGATTTCAATGTCAGTTCACTTTTCAAAGCCTCCTCAGATCTGCCCCAACTGTGTGCCACTCAGTAGTAAGTGTGTGACCTGAGTGGTAGTCTGTTAGTTCAGTTTTCAAAATCCTTTGTATGCTCCTCGGTGTTAGATCCATGCATGCTCCCCTGGAGGGGGCGGGGGTTGGAGTTTATAAACAACTTTATGGAGTAACTTTCCTGAGCTCCTTCCTCTCTGTGATCTCTCAGATACTTCCCAATTCTCTGGGACTCCCTGTTTTGGTCCTCTAGTTACAAACTTTGGGCTCTAGTTACCTGTTCTACCACACACTTCCATGTTCTGACCCAAATCTGGGCTCAGAAGTAAAAGATAAGTAAGAAGCAATGGAGATTGGCCCTACCCTCTTGGGATCAGAGCTCTGATGACCGCAGAAAACAATTTCTCTCCCTCAGAGTTCTGACTCCTGTAGGTCACTGTTTCCAGCCAGGTGTTTTTGCCGGGGCTGCCTGTCCTACTTAGCAGCCTACTTGTCCCGGGGCCCACAGTGCACATGTGTGGAATGAGCTCCTCACTCTCCAACGGGTCTGACGTACAGTGAACTGGCCCCCTGTTTAAAAAGTTTGAGGACCCCTGCCCTAGGGCTTATTTTCAGGGGATGTGTTATTTTCCCCTCAAAGCCTCAGCTAGCAGCAACGCACAGGATGGCCAGGACCTGACAGAGGGAGCCGACCTTGTTGGTGGGGCTGCCCGCACCTTTCTGGTCACCTCTGGGATAGTAGCTGTCACCATGGGGCAGATGAAAAGGGCTGCTCATCTTCTTTACTGCTCCGGGAGGAATTGCGTGGGTTGTGCAGATATGCTGCATAGCCACACCCATCACTAGGTCTTATTTTTAGGGTAGGGCTTATGTTGCGCAAATGCTTAGAAATCCTGCTAGGGCTTATTTTATGGGTATGTCTTATTTTCCGGGAAACATGGTAAGTCTTTAAGAAACACTTCAGGGAATTAAAAAAACAAATCCTGTCATTTAAGCTTTTGTCCACTAGATGTCCTCAGTTAAGTTTAAGTTACCAGAATTTAACTTTTCATGAAAATTTGTTTCAGTCTCTAAGTATCTTTTTAAAAACTTAATAAAATAAACTCTTTAAATATAGTTTAAGATAATGCTTCAGGTAAAAATTTTTGCGTGTAACTGTTACTATTGTTGATATTTTAAAATTTTATTAATATATAAGGTCTTTAAAAATCTATAAATACCTTTGATGTATGGTGAATATTTAAGCATTATCTATGATTTTTGTATTATATGTAATCTTAGTGAAATAGGAGTTTTTTTATGTTAAATCACTTTCTTGTGAATTTTTTTCTTTCTTTTTCCCCTTTTAATTTTTATATTTTTCTGTAAGAGTTTTGGGACTGGAGTTAAACAAAGACAGAGATGTTGAAAGAATCCATAGCAGTGGAGTTAACACCCTTGACATTGAACCTGTTGAAGGAAGATAGTAAGTTCATTATACTTATACAATCATTTTTCTTTATGTGAGATACAGTAAAATCCTGCATTTTTAGATTATGTAGAAGTTTCAATAGAATTAGTAAAAATCCTAAAATATAGCATTTTTCAATCTGGTATTATTACAAATAAATACAGAACATCAGATCTACAAAATGTTGCCAAGTAAAATATTAATACCAAAGAGAGAAATAAAAAGGTAAGTATACGTTTAATGGAAAATTAAGTACTGATTTTCTTTAAAAAAATTGATGTATATGTAACTTGCTCAAAATACCTGTTAATATTTACCATCTACCATAAGAGCTATAGTGATATCACTGAAAACCAGAGTGGAAAGCAGAATATACAAATCTAGTAAAAAAGCATTTATTTCTAATTTCTAAAACACTATCTGAAGATTACATTGTAACAGGTGCAACTACAGAAGGTACATTTGCATATCACTCTCTGAAGCATAAATTTTCTTATATCTTTGAAATTAATTGCACTCATGTTTAATACCAAGTTTTCTCGTCTATATAAAAACATGAAGCCATATATCTCTTAATGTGTTCACTCTAAATACAGACTAGTAACCTCATGGTTAGATAACGTCATTGTCATCAGATACTTCAAACATAAAGTCAGTTAACTAATGAAATCAAAGGAAAGCTTTTGGAAGCCATTCTAACAAAGTCAAAGCATCTGACAGGATTGTAAATACTATTTAAATTCAGTAAAAAGGTCGACTATAGAAACAATTGTTTTCTATTGATGATACATCTACATTTTGAAGAAAAACAATATCTCACAAAGTTAAAGTATAAAGCAAAAGTGAGGAGTTTGTTGCGGTACACTTGTAACTCACAACTGTGCTCACTTTATCAATCAAAATAAAAGTTGTAGTTGTTAAAATTTGCAAGTATCTATATATACAGTTAGAGTAACTAAACTACAAAAGTTTTGTAACAAAGCTAATGTTGAATATTACAAAAATAAAACTAAGCATGGCATTATTTGCAGTCTTTGCTGCCCATGATCAATTGGATTTTAGAACTGTTTGAGCATTTGAAGAACTACTTTTAAGTTAACCTAGTTGTTCTAGAAACTGGTATTGAATTTATTTTAAAAGAAGGCTATGAAACAGTACATGCTGTTAGTTCATGAAATGTTTATAACTGGTTCACAGCATGATAAGGAGCTTGTACTAGAATGTAAATCAAGTACATCGCTAAGCATGTAGTTTAAAGGAGCCAAGATTTGTTTGTAGTAAGACTTTCTCAATGAAGAAAGATGTTTTTGTTTTTGCCACAAGCTCCTTATCTTGTCGTGGAGAGGCACATTAAATAGCACTGTTCTATATTTAGTTATATTTTGTTCAAAATCAGATGAAAATCTTTTAATCAAACTATTCAGTGAATGTATTGCTGAAAACTTCAATTTGGGGGCGATTCTGGGAAGATAACAATATCAGTGTAGCTTTGAAAGTTCCTCAAATCCCCCATTAAAACATATAAAGAAACTGAAGATGGTAAAATCAAAAACCAGTGTACACTTGTAACAAAACCAGGTCAGTCATGAAGTACCCCCACAAACCCTAAAATATGAATAAAGTGGGAACAAACCACTGATAACTACAAGATCTATATGGTATCAGCATTTATGCCAGGGGAGGCAATAAAAGGTGATGGAGCATCTGATATACCTCATAAGTCCAAAATAATAACAGGTTGTTTGAAATCTTAGCTAGCCAGTTAGACTACAGAAGCTGAAATTAACCAGGTGCAGTGGTGCACACCTATTGTCTCAGCCACTTAGGAGGCTGAGGTAGGAGGACCACTTGAGCCTAGGAGTTCTAGACTAGCCTGGGCAACATAGCAAGATCCCATCTCTTAAAAAAGAAAAAAAGCACCAGTAGCAGCTGAAACCGGGAGAGGATGCCATACTCTATTTGTAGGTAAGTTCAAATGGTCCACAGTAAGACCAGAAGAAGCAGTCTGGGCCCTAATATCCCTCTAAAGAGCCAGCTAGTCAAAGCTCTCCTCCAGGACAGAACCCTACACTGAGGAGGAGCTTCTTGAAATAGAATTCAAACTGAGTAGTACAGAGATGATAGAAACAAAGGAAAAAAATGTCCCAGATAAAATTTGGGAGGTGAACAGACCAGGAAATCTCTGGTAAACTGCCATGTTTTGAACATCTTACCTAAGAAAAAAATTTTTAAGCGAAGAAGATGTTCTAAAAATATAAAATGTTGCTATTATTCTAAATCAAGCTTCCATTATAAAAGTTTAAGAAACTTAATTTACATAAAAATGAGCAAAGCATAGGATTAAGGTCAAAATCCATACAAAACTATTATAAGAACAAAGAAAATAAGAAATAGAATAATGCCACTGTAGACAATGAAGTCATGCCAGAAAGATATCTACAAAACAGCTGAGAACTCAAACCTAATATTTTAAAACTAGCTAAAATTCATTTTATAAAGATACAATCAATGAAAGAATAATGTGTTGGAGTTGGAAAAACTCAGAAAAGAGATGATCAGACTCAAGAAAAAATTAGAAATAAAAATATTCCACAAATGGGACACATAGGTACTACAGTAATAGGGTATTGGGCAGCCGTGGAGGGGGAGGGGGGTATATACATACATAATGAGTGAGATGTGCACCATCTGGGGGATGGTCATGATGGAGACTCAGACTTTTGGGGGGAGGGAGGGAAATGGGCATTTATTGAAACCTTAAAATCTGTACCCCCATAATATGCCGAATAAAAAAAAAAATTAAAAAAAAATATTCCACAAATGAAAACTAAAGCATAAGAAACACAAGCAAATAATTATAAGAGGTTAATGCCTGGGAAATAGAAAGTGGAAAGCAAGAAAATTTTTAAAATCAAAAAGAAATGAAGAGAGGAAAGGATTCAAAAGGTAATTACATATGTAAAATACAGGCAAAATTGATCCAGCATACATATAATAGAAGTTTCCAGAGAGAAAACCAAAGCAAGAGAACCTAATAATATTTAAACAATAATTCAAGAAAACTTTAATAGAATACATAAGATCTGAAACTCTTTCCCTGCAGCCACCAAGTCATGTGTAGGTGGAGGCTTGGGCGTTCAAAATTCACCCCTTCACCCCACCGCCTGGCCGAGGCAGGCATTGCTACTGGAGGTGTAATGGACGTTCACACTGCTTTTCAAGAGGTGCTGAAGACTGCCCTAATCCACGGTGGCTTTGTAGGTGGAATTCGCAAAGCTGCCAAAGTTTAGACAGACACCAAGCCCATCTGTGTGTGCTTGCATCCAACTGTGATGAGCCGGTGTATGTCAAGTTGATGGAGGCATTTTGTGCTGAACACGAAATCAACCTAATTAAGGGTGATGACATGAAACTAGGGGAATGAGTAGGCCTTTGTAAAATTGACAGAGAAGGGAAACCCCGTAAGGTGATTGGTTGCAGTTGTGTTAAGGACTATGGCAAAGAATCTTAGGCCAAGGATTTCATCGAAGAGTATTATTTATTTATTATTTTTTATTTTTATTTATTTATTTATTATTTATTTATTTATTTTTGAGACAGAGTCTCACTTTGTTGCCCAGGCTAGAGTGAGTGCCATGGCGTCAGCCTAGCTCACAGCAACCTCAAACTCCTGGCCAAGCAATCCTCCTGCCTCAGCCTCCCAAGTAGCTGGGACTACAGGCATTCGCCACCATGCCCGGCTAATTTTTTGTATATATATATTAGTTGGCCAATTAATTTCTTTCTATTTATAGTAGAGACGGGGTCTCGCTCTTGCTCAGGCTGGTTTCGAACTCCTGACCTCAAGCAATCCACCCGCCTCGGCCTCCCAGAGTGCTAGGATTACAGGCGTGAGCCACCGCGCCCGGCCTGAAGAGTACTTTAAATGCAAGAAGTGGACAAATAAAAACTTTGCCTCATGTTCCTTAAAAAAATAAATAAAAAATAAGATCTGAAACTTTATATAAGGGAAAAAAGTCTTATTATTATCAGACTATGACTTTTGGGAAATGAAGATATTGAAGTTTTCTCATCTCAGATGCTCAAGAATATAAAATTTGAGCCAAGGATTTTATATCCAGCCAAACTAATTTTCAAGTAGAAAAGAACAGACAGGTTGTCAATAACACAAGAATTCAGGGACTATTGTTCTTATTAGCCCTTCCTTAGGAATCTACTAGAGAATGAAATCAGACAACCAGAAAAACTAGAGAGACAGCAACATAAGGATTGATGGTGAGCAATAATATTAGCAAATAGTAATACTTTATATAGGTATATAAACTCATAGACCTAGGTATTGGTTTGTCTGCTGATATCACATCACAATAAAGAGAGCAGTGAAAAAGATCATTTTAAATTTTAGCACATAAATAGTCACCAGAATCTAGGCTAGAAATTGCAGAACAAATGATCTGGTTTCTGCAACAAATAAATATGAAGAGAGGGAAAAAGTAGAGGAGGAAAAGAGTAAGAACGGGAGAAGGGACTTATAAATTAAAGGTAGAAGACATTAAGTTTTTTTTAAAGCAAATCTGGTATTCATGGATACATTTTTTTGATAGAAAATAAAAATATTTTATTATAACCTATTAATATTCCATTCCATCTCCAATCCCCAGCATTTTTTGATCACTCACTTTCTGCTAGGCCCTGTGAATATGCTAGTCTTTTTTTTTTAATATTTTTTTTAATTCAGCATATTCTGGGGATATAAATGTTTAGGTTACATATATTGCTTTTGCCCCACCCGAGTCAGAGCTTCAAGCATGTCCCTCCCTCAGATGGTGCGCACCATACCCATTAGGTGTGTATATACCTATCACCCCTTTCCCCATGGATACATTCTTGAGTAATGAACCATTACAGAAAAGAAAGACAATGATTACTATAAAAGTCATGATAATGATTACTTTGAGGAGAAAGGGAAGGAGTTACGATCTAGAGCTATTTATATTTTGTATAGTAATGGAATAGAATTTAGAATGTCTAACATTTTGTAAATTTAAATTTGGTGTAACATCCAAAAGAGACATAAAATAGAGAATTCCTTTTTTTTTTTTTGAGATAGGGTCTTACTGTGTTGCCTGGGCTAGAGTGCTGTGGTGTCAGCCTATGGAGTAGCTAGGGCTACAGACATGCACTACCATGCCTGGCTAATTTTTTCTGTTTTTGGTAGAGATGAGGCTCACTCTTGCTCACGCTGGTCTCAAACTTTTGAGCTCAAAGGAACAACTCATCTGGGCCTCCCAGAGTGCTAGTATTACAAGCCTGAGCCACCGCACCCCGCTGAGAATGTTTGAAGAGAGTTTTATCTTGTAAAAAAAAAAAATTGCTGAAGAAAGTTACTCTGAATGGAGTTAAAAAGAAACAGTGAAAATGTTTAATCTGAAATATTTGCACATTTCAATATGAAAAAAGAGAATTAAGACTATCTTCCATTTTGCAGAATTTGCTGTAAACTTACCATGTTTCTCATCACGTATTGTTTTCTAAATTAAACATATAATGGTTTTCAGGGAAGTCAGTTAAAGGTGGCAACACTTTAAATTCAAAGATAATTTCAGGCAATTTTATGGAAAAAAACCAATAAGATCATATTGAAAAGCATTCAAAAAATACAAGTATCAGTCTTAAAGACAGATATAGTTAAGAAACTGATTAAAGTATATGAAGTGCCAAGAATAACATAAGTTATTTTTTAATTAAATTCAATCAGTGTATATAGTTTTAGTGTATATGCTTATATGTTTTTACTTTTTAGAAAATTTTACAAAGCTTTTAAATAGAATAGTTCTATAGGTTCTCAATATAATAGACCAGTTTGGAGTAAATATATAATTGTTTCCAAAAATTATATTGTGTATTTTTCGTACCTTCTTTACCCTCAAAAGTAAGGCTTTGAGTGATCTGGGCCTTGCTGGTCTCTCATGTCTCACCACTCTTTCCCTTCCATACTACCCCAGCAACACATCCTTCTTTCATTTCCTCAAATGGGCTTGAATTGTTACTTCCACACCTATCTGGCTAACTCTGATTCCTCCTTCATATACCAGCTTAAATATTACGATCAGGGAAACCATCCCTGAATCCCCAAACTAGAATAAAAAAATAAGTTATTGTCACAATGATCCCAATTATAACTAACAGTTTATGGGATTATGTATTCTTTTTGTTTTCCTTACTAGTTTGTAAACCCCACGAGGACAGGAATCATGTGTCTGTCTTGTTCATAGTTGTATAAGCAGAGTGCCTAACGTAGGTGCTCAGTTAAAGTTGAACGAACTGAGCGAATACATTCGTAAGAGAGGGAAAGAATCTGACATTTGTTGATCTCCTATTTTTTGCCAGGTACTACAAAAGGAACTTTGTACTTTTAACATCACATCAACTTTGTTATTTAAGTGACAAATGTCCCTTTTCTTTTTTAAACAAGTGTTAGAAGGCTTAAATAGGTAATATAACTTGCCTAGGGTCAGATAGCTAATATCAGTAATAGCTGGTCTAATTTCATTTTCATTTAGAACAGTTATAATTAGGGCATTTAACTTTGTAATATTTTACTTTCTTAAGAAATATATTTTGCCATCTTGTTTCTACCATCCTTTCATTTTAGAATCATGAAGGTAAACTAAATGACCACAGATTGCATTTTTCTATTTTCATTCTTCTATAAATATTAAGAAATTTTAATTAATTAGAGTCAGTGTTAATGATAAATACAGATTACCTCAGTGTTTGTGGCCTTAAGACATTTGGGTATTTGCAAATCAGTTTTCAGAAATTTGTAATAAATAAATGGACTACATAAAATAATAAATTAATGTGAACTTTTTTATTATCAGTATGTTATCAGGTGGTTCAGATGGTGTGATTGTACTTTATGACCTTGAGAACTCCAGCAGACAACGTTATTACACATGTAAGGCAGTGTGTTCCATCGGCAGGTGTGTATTAAAAATGTAATTCATGAATTTGTAAACAGTTGAGTATTTTTTACATCAAATGCAAAACATGAAAATAGCAGTCATATGAATGGCAAAAGCAAATTGGTCAAATGACATATTTACATGGATATCCGTTGATGCTTTCTTGAAAATAATAACTAAAATTCAGGTATAGGTGTCACTTTCCAAAACATTTATATAATACATGACTTCCCCAAAACAACTTTGGTGTTGACTGTCAAAAGGATTTTATTAAAAGACTTTTGATTATATCACTTTTGTTCTGTATCTACATAGCACGTCTCAGTAACTAATAGTTTTTAGTACCACATAGTATAAAATTCATTTAAAAGTTTTTCCATTCATTAGATTTTCAACTGAAATTAATGGAAAAAAAGATTAAGAACTAAATATAATAAATATACTGGTATTCCCTCACCAAACACACACACACATACCCCCCTTTCTTGTCTCTCTGCTTGCTCAAAAATGCCTACCTTAAAAATATATCTCTACTTATCTTGACTTTTCTGACTATTCTTTACTAGCTTACCAATATTGTGAAAATTGTTTTTAAGTTTCTATTAAAATATTTTGTGACATGGTAGTTTTTCATAATGGTTATTTAATTCTTTCTGCTCACCTATATCTGATCTGATAATGAGTAGACCTTTGAGTGAACAGAGAAAATGAATGCTGAGAAAATGCATTCAAGAGGAAAAACTTTGTAAACATTAACATAAACAATCACTCTGTATTGAAGCTGTTCCCAAAGCACTAGAATATATGCTTAAGTCCATAGAATATTTGTGAGGAGATTTACTATTGTTTCTTGGCTCTGGCACTTCACATTGGAAATACAGATTTAGGAAAGTCAGTTAATCTCTCTGAGCTTTAAATTATTTTATCTTAGAGACCATTATAATTGCCATAAGGTTTCTGTGAGAATTAAATGAAATATTATCTTTTAAAAAGCATGTTGAAAACTGTAAAACTGTGTAAATGGAAAGCAATGTAGTTATAAGAAAACTTAGTACAAAACATGATACTGCCTTATATACTCTGACTTTGTAAGAGACTTTGGCCATTTATACTTTCTTTCCACTCTCACCCAAAAAACAAGAAAAGTCCAAATTCTAAAGTATAAGACAGTCAATTAATTCACTTTTATCTTATTTTATCCTAGCTAACATTTTAACATTAATTTATTATATAGCAAAATTGTATTTTTATGTATTCCACATGCTACATAATATATTCCATGAACAACTGTTATCTGTTTTGTTTTCTTGGTTTTTTTATTTTATTATTTTTTTGGTATGTACAACTAAATGTTTAGTGTATCAGTCTTTTGTTTTACTATGACTTTATTCTTGGATTCAAACTCTATCTTAAAAGTGTGACTTTGTTTTTGAAAATGGGCATATAGTAGGCATCTTTCCAAAATGATTGTAATGGCATTTTCTTTTCCATCTGAAGAGTTTACAATCTAATTTTTAAAAATAGCTTCAATAAAACCTGTTATTAAGTTAATGTGACTTTAGACTATTTTCTGATATTTATTGTTAGTATACTTAATTTGTTCTTCATCACTAAAAAGATTCCTTTCCTGTACCAAAATTATTTTTAAAATGTGAATAACAGAACATATATAACAAGAGAATGAAATAATATTTTGTCCTATTTTAAAATTTAAAATATAAATGAGCTTTTATTTGTGGTCACTAAGTTAAAGATTTGTTTTATTTAAAACTAACATCACTGGCTGGGTGTGGTGGTTTATGCTTGTAATCCTAGCACTCTAGAAGGCTGAGGTGGGAGGATTTCTTGAGGTCAGGAGTTTGACACCAGCCTGAGCAAGAGCGAGACCCTGTCTCTATCAAAAAATAGAAAAAATTAGCCAGGTATTGTGGTGCATGCCCTGTAGTCCCAGCTCCTTGGGAGGCTGAGGCAGAAGGATTGCTTGAGCTTGAGGTTGCAGTGAGCTATGATGACGCCACTGCACTCTAGCTGAGGTGAGAGAGTGAGACTGTGTCTCAAAAACAAAACAAAAAAACACTAATTTTACTGGAAAAAATCTCAATAAAACAAAAGGGATCCCACCCCCCAAAATAGGAGGAGTATGAATGCTCATTAACCAAGAAAACGCATGTGTCTATTTCAGTTCACCCGTTTGGCTGTCCCACATCCATATACACCTTTCTTCCCATACCTACACTTAGATTAAAAAATGATCCAGCCTAACCTAGTGCAAGTGTTCACTTACAGCCAAAAAAGTGATCATCCTCTCCCCAAAGAGTAATAATCTTAAGCCTATTTAGTTACCACATCCAGCTCCAGTTCAAGCTAATTTTAATTTTTCCACTAGTTTTATGTGATTCTGTGTCAGTATTATGCAATTTGTGGACTCAATTGTATAGTTAACCTATAAGGAATCAGAACCCATGATTGTCATATCTGCATAGTGTTATAATAGTCTTCTGTTAGCTTTTATTTTATTATGGGAAATATCTAAAAGATACAAAAGAAAAGAGTAGTATAATGAATTGTGTCCTTGTCACTCAGCTTTAAGAACTGTCAGTTATAACCAATCTTGTTTCATCTGTACCCCTCACCTATCTACCCTAAGGATTATGTTGAAGCAAATCTCAGACGATATGTCATTTTATCCATAATTATTTGATTATATCTCTAAAAGATAAAGACTTTTAATAAGCACTACCATAGTACCATTATCTCACATACATAATAATTCCCTGTATTAAGTACCCAGTGTTCAAATTTCCCTCATTGTCTCATAAATATCTCTTAACATCCAGTTTGAATTAGATTCAGTTAGGTGACATATATGCTATGTTGATCACTGGTTCAGAGCATATACTGCATCCTTGAGGACAGCATACTACCCTCACAAAGTGATGTATTATAGCTGATATTATGCCTGAGAGTCTTCAACATGTCATGTTTCTATGGGCAGTGTGTTACATAAGATGTGAATCCCATGGGCCTCCACCAATTGCATTCTTTAGCCACAGAATAAGTTCCTTGATAAGAAGGAACATTATGTGGAATACCATATAGGTGTGTGAGGCATTCAACAATTCTAAGAATGGTAGTGCTAATAAAATGATACTGTTCTATCATTGGATAAGCAAATTTGGAAAAGCAAATCTAAAACCAAAATAGGTATCTCTTCCAGTAAGAATCCCTGCCTCCTCCAAGATGGAAGAAGTCCAGTGTAGCTGGCTGATCCTTCAAGGCTGTGTATAGTACAGAAATAGGTCTGAGGAACCTTAGTAGGAAGTAGGCCTCCACATCACACTGTCATGTCTGGACATTCTCTCTGCCTTTCTTCTGGGCAGCTAGGACAGAGGTATGTGATCTAGGTTTGGCCATTCATATCATCCTACCTGAGACTGCTACTTGTTCTTAATATAGTATCAATTTTGAAACTCCATAAATCAGTTATCTATAAATGTTGGTTCCTGTTTTGTAGAGACCATCCTGATGTTCACAAATACAGTGTGGAGACTGTACAGTGGTATCCTCATGACACTGGCATGTTCACATCAAGCTCATTTGATAAAACTCTAAAAGTATGGGATACAAATACATTACAAGTAAGTATATTAAAACCTTTCCAAAGGGTAGGATGAAGGAGAACTTAATCCTAAACCATTTTAGTGTGATTATTTGCTAAGATATCATATATGTTAGATGTGAAAGCAGTATAGTGGTTAAGAAGAGCTAGACTGCTCGAGTTCATGTCCTAGCTCTGCTGCTGGCTAGCAGTATAACATTGGATAAATGTCCAAACTTTTCTGTATCTCAGTTTCATTATCTGTAAATTGGGATAATGACTGCACCTTATAAAATGTTCTTGAGGGATAAATGAGCTGCTATATGTAAAGTACCTAGTACAGTGCTTAGCATATAGTAAATGCTTAAAAAATGTTACCTATTAATATTATTATTCCTTTTTGAAAACTGTGGTCTAGTGATCTGAGGTAGAAAATTGGATTTATCTCCTATTCATCTAAAAACTTAAAGGGGAAAAGTTAATATTATAGCCTAGTAAAGGTAGGCAGTGGATAATAGTTTTTATGATATACGATCAAATTTAAATTTCTAAGGGCCAGGCGCAATGGCTCACACCTGTAGTCCTACCACTCCGGGAGGCTGAGGTGGGAGGATCACTTGAGGTCAGGAGTTCAAGACCAGCCTGAGCAAGAGTGAGACCCTCCATCTCTACTAAAAATAGAAAAAAATTAGCTAGACAACTAAAAATAGGAAAAAAAAAATAGCCAGACATGGTAGTGCGTGCATGTAGTCACAGCTACTTTGGAGGCTGAAGCAGGAGGATCACTGAGCCCAGGAGTTTGAGGTTGCTGTTAGCTAGGCTAACGCCGTGGGCACTGTAGCCCGGGCAACAGAGTGAGACTCTGTCTCAAAAAACATGTTCCAAACTGAACATATCCATTTAGTCATAAAATCTTAGCAATTCTTCCTTCAAACACTTTCATACTTCTCTTTTCTACTTCCCTCACCATCCCTGCACATCTAGGGTACTAAAAACTCCTAACTGGTTTCCCTGTCTTACTTTCCTTCTACATTTTCTGTGGTAAGTTCTATTAGGTCATTAAACATGAAATGTCTGATTTTGAATGAAGAGTTTAGTTTACTATATCTCAAACAAAGAGCAGTACAATTAGTCAAAGTCTGTACCTAAACTATCAACATAGTTTTGCCATCTTAATGGTAGCGTGCTTATGCCAGCGGTGAAGAAGCCTGGAGAGTGAGTAGCAATGAAATCTTGAAAGGTGTTTTCCACTGCTCAGTGAGAATTGAATATTTTTCCTTGCAAGAGTAGTCCAAAGCCTGGAAAAAGTGATAGTCAGTTGGTGCAAGATCTGGTGAATACAGTGGATGACAGGGAGTTTTCCAAGTCCAGCTTCTGTGGTTTGAGCAGCATTGTTTTTTGCGACATGTGTTCTTGTAAGAGCATTGGCCTGTCTCTGTTGACCAGTCTTGGCTGCTTAATCGTAAGCATCCTCATCATTTTGTCAAACTGGTTGCAGTAGACATCTCCTGTAATGGATTGACTAGGTTTCATGAAGCTGTTGTGGATAATACCAGTGCTGGACCACCAAACACACCATGAGCTTTTTTGGATTAATATTCAGTTTGGGACTGTGTTTCAGCACTACGTGTTTATCTAACCATTGTGCCGAATGCTTGTGATTGTCAAAACAGAATCCATTTTTCATCACATGTAACAATTATGGTGTAGAAATAGTTCGCCTTTACATCATGACAGCAGAGGAAGGAAAGCTTCAAGGCAATTTCTATTCTGATGCTCATTTAATTCATGTGGTACCCATCTAGCCAGCTTCTTTACCTTGCCCATTTGTTTCAAATGGTCCAATATTATTGGAATAGTAACATCAAACCTTAGTGCTGATTCACAGGTAGGTTGAGATGGATTTGCTTCTGCTCCAGCTTTTGGCTCATCACTATCCACCTTGGTCTCAGGTCACCCACGTGGCTCATTTTCAAGATTAAAATCACCAGAACAGAATTTCCCAAACCATTGATGTATTGTGCATTCATTAGCCACATCCTTCCCAAACACTTTGGTGATATTTTGAGCTATCTGTACTACATTGGTTCTATAACAGAACTCATATGCGAAAATAACACAAATTTTTGGTTTAGTCCATGGTTTCACAAAAGTTGCTGTAAGAAAAATTTGGAAGATAATCACAAGCCAAAATGTGCATTTGAAAGGATGAGGATATACCTTCACAACTGGAAAAAAAAACCAAGAGGCTGGGTGTGGTGGCTCACACCTGTAATCCTAGCACTCTGGGAGGCCAAGGCAAGAAGATTGCTTGAGATCAGGAGTTTGAGACCAGCCTTAGCAAGAGCAAGACCTTGTTGCTACTAAAAGTAGAAAAAAATTAGGCGTGGTGGTACATGCCTATAGTCCCTGCTACTTGTGAGCCTGAGGCAGGAGGATTGCTTGAGCCCAGGAGTTTGATGTTACAGTGAGCTAGGATCATACCATTGTACTCCAGCCTGAGTAACAGAGTGAGATCCTGTCTCTAAAAAAAATAAAATACCTGTCATTGAAAATGAGAATATATTTTAAGGATTAAATGAATGTCATGAACTTCTACTTCTGACAATAATGGAGTATCTTGTAGGCAAACCACCACCTCCATTTAGAAAAGATAGTTAAAACATAAACAATATCTAGTTGACAGTTTTGGAAAGCTGCCAAGGAATCTAAGACTTAAGAGGCAAGATCCTAGCGAGAAGGAAAAGTTTTCAGAAGTGAGTTCAACTTTCCATGCAGCCTCTTTCCCTTTGGGCATTTGCCATTTCTTGATGGAGGGCAAGAGACTAAAAATGCAGGCATTGAATAGCTTTTAAAGGGCAGAGAAACAAGTGGAATTTTAGTCAATTTCACGAAGCTGCAGAGACAGAAAGTGGAGTGTGGGTCTGCCAAGACAGCCAGATATTAAGGGGTCAAGATCACAAAAAGAAGAGAGATGGAGAGCAATCAGCCTAACAACTTGGCATTGGTCTTCCCCTTGAGGCATTTGCTGATCAAGCTATGCAAGACCATAGACTAAGAAAGGAAGCAGAAAACATTTAAAAAACAGAGCAGAATCTTCTCCAGTCACATCATACTAGAGAGAAAATTTGCATTACAGTATTTGATAAGTATATCAAATACTTTGACGGGGCCTAGCAAAAAGCCTAGGATATTACAGCACCTGGAGAGATACACTCTAAGAATGGGTAAAAATAAAAGGGAGATGGAGCCTGTGGTAGGCAGAATAATACCCACTCTCCCTCAAGATGTCTGTGTCCTAATCCCCAGTACCTGTGAATATGTTAGGTTACATGGCAAAGGGCAATCAGCTGTTCACCTGATCTCAAAACAAGGAGATTATCCTTGTGGGTGCAATGTAATCACAGGGGTCTTACAAAATGGAAAAGGGAGGCAGAAGGAAATGTGACTGGAAGAATGATCAGAGAAATATAAAATTGCTGGCTTTGAAGACAGATGCAGGGGACCACCAGCCAAGGAATATGGGAGGTCTTTAGAAGTTGGAAAAAGCAAAGAAATGGATTCTCTACTAGAGCCTGCAGAAAAGAATGCAGCCCTGCCAACACCTTGATTGTAGTCCAGTGAGACCTGTGTGAAACTTTTAACCTACAGAACTATAAGATAATAAATTTATGTTATAAATTACTGTTTGTGGTAATTCCTTACTTTATCAATAGGAAATCATTACAGAGCTCTACAAAGATAGTAAATAAACTTTATGTTAGCTCCCAACATGTCAAGAAACAGCCTAAGAGAAAAAACAAATAGAAATAGATTGACATCTCCATGCCTAGATGCCTTTACTAATAAATTATTCTAAACATTTAAAACAGAAATACCTATCTTAAACACTTCAAGAGAATAAAAGAGGAAAAAAGGAACATTTGTAAACTCATGTTATGAAACTAGCATATCCTTTATTCCAAAACTTACAAGAATGTTATAAGAAAAATTACAGGCCAATGTCTCTTACCACTATAAATACTAAAATCCTAAATGGACTATTAGTAAATAGAGTTTAGCAATACACAAAAAGAACAATGTACCACAAGTGAACAAGATTTATTTTAGAAATCAATGTTGTTTTAACATCTAAAAATCAATATAATTCATCATGTTAATAGAATGAAGGCGAAAAACTGCTTCATTATCTCAATACATATGAAAAATTTTTAAATAAAAGTCAATACCCATTCATGATTTTTAAAATTCTTTATAGATTAGGAATAGAAGAAAAATTTCTTAATTTGATAAGGAGTATCTGTTTGTTTTTTTTAAAAAACATAATATTTGCTGGTAAAAATGTTGAAAGCTTTTCTTTTTAATTATCTCCATTATTCCTTGTGTTCAACATTGTACTGAAAGCTCTAGGCAATGCACTAAGGCAAACAAAGGAATTAAAAGGCATAGGAATTGGAAAGGAAGCATTTAAACCATCATTCACAGAGACAAAGTGAAAAGGTAAGCCATGGAGTGGGATATGATATATCCAACGTACACATATATCTGAAAAAGAACTTAATACAGATTATCTAAATAACCAAAAACATTGAAAGATTGATGACCCTATAGAAAAATATGCAAAGCACTTGAACAGGCACTTTAGAAAAAAGGATATCCAAATGACCAATAAATAAATGAAAAGTATTCAACTTTATTGACTGAGCACCTGGAAATGTTAAATAACTCTGCAATGAATTATCTCTGTATATCCTACAGAATGGTTAAAATTAAGGAGAGAAAGATAACAGTAATAAGTGCATATATTGCTGGTTGGATTATAAATTGAAACAGATACTTAGTATCATTGACTTAGTACCAAATATGTGCATGTCCTGTGATCCAGTAATTATTTGCTTGAGTGTATTAATGAATATATATGTGCACAAAGGACATGTACTGGAGTGTTCATAGAAGCACTGATTATTATAAACAAAAACTATAAACAACCAAACCATTCATTAACAGTTTAATGAAGTCTGGCAAATTCTACATTGGAATACTATTTCAACAAAGATAAGGGAAGATTTACTTATTTATGCAACAAAATATATGAATCTTACAAACATAACATTAGACGCAGTAAAGTAGACATATAAGAGTGCCTAATATATGATTCCCTTTATAGGAGGTTCAAAAATAGGCAAAACTAATCCATAGTGATAGAGGTTTATATGGTGATTATCTTTATTGGCAGTGGTTGTAACTGAAAGGGTTCTAGGGGACTTTCTGGGGTGTTTCTGATGTTCAATTTTATAATACAGGTGATGGTTTCATGCATATGTTCACTTTGTGAAAATTCATTCAGCTACACACTTAATAATTTGTGTACTTTTTTCTGTATGTTTGTTATACTACAGTTATAAGTATGGTTTAAAAATGAATAAGCTATACATTTGAATTTTCATTTCTTAATATTGACTTTTTTTAAAATGCTAATAAAAGATATTTTGAATTTAAATTTTCTTTAGAACATAAATGTTTTGTTAACTCAGAATAGTATTCTATGAGTCCATAATTCTATCTGAAGTAAAAGTATGACAGAACATTTTATTAATAAGAACTTTGAAAAGATTCAGCAAGAAATAATTTATTGTGCATCTGCCAGGTGTAAAGAAAATAAGGAAGACACAAAATGCCTTTCTCCCCATTTTGAACCCCATCACTGATTTTTCCTATTAATGTACATATTACATACCTATCATATCTTTACTTCATCTAAGTTTTTCATTAATGTGTTCTTATATTGAACATATGGTATGGTTTAGAGGAATATCTACTCTGGAGTCTTTTCTATTAAACTTTAAGGTGGAGAGCAACTATTCTCTCATTTGGAGTTTTCTTAAAATTTTACATATGGAATATTATTCATAAAATCCTGATGTCAGTATCCAGGAATTGTTTTTTTGTTTGTTTTGTTTTGTTTTGTTTTTTGAAACAGGGTCTTGCTCTGTTGTCCATGATGGAGTGCAGTGGCACAATCATAGCTCACTGCAGTCTCAAACTCCTGGGCTCAAGTGATCCTCCCGCCTTGGCCTCCCAAAGTGCTAAGATTACAGGAATGAGGCACCACATGAATGAACCTTGAAAACATACTAAATGAAAAGCTACAGAAAACAACATAATGTATAATTTCATTTATAGGAAATGTCATGAATCAGCAAATCTATAGAGACAGAAAATTGATTAGTAGTTGCCTACAGCAGAGGGTTGGGAGAAACGGGGAGTGACTACTAGTGGTTATGGGGCTTCTTTTGGGGGAATGAAAATGTTCAAAAATTTATTTGGTGATGTTTGCAGAACTCTGGGGATACACTAAAAGCCATTTAAGCGCACACTTTAAATGGGTGAATTGTGTGGTTTGTGATTTACATTTCAACAAAGCCATTCTTTAAAAAAAAATAAAAAGTACTTCAGGTTCTCTGGCTTAGAAATTGGGTGGATTATACTGTCATTTACTAAGGTACGGAAAGGGGTGAGTGATGAGTTCAATTTTAGATTTGTTACATTTGAGGGATTTACAAGAAATCCAAATGGAGATAATTCAGGATTTGAGCTATACGTATCTGGAATTCAGGAGTGAGGTCTACACTGAAAATACAGATTTGTGCTTCACTGCAGATTGAGTATCCCTAATCTAAAAATCCAAAATCCAAAATGCTTCAAAATACAAAACTTTTTTAGTGCCAGTATAATACTCAAAGGAAATGCTCATTGGAGCATTTTGGATTTCAGATTTCCAGATTTGGGATGCTCAACCAGCAAATATAATGTAAACGTTTCCAAATCTAAAAAAAAAAAAAAATCTGAAACACTTGGTGGTCCCAAACATTTCTGATAAAGGATACTCAACCTGGAATATGTGAGTGGCAGTTGAAGAGAAGAATCCATAGAACAAAACACAGAGGAAGACAAAAATTAATATGATAGGAAAAGGAACAACAAGGCCCACAAAAGACAATGAAAAAGAGTAAGAGGAAAATCAGGAGTATATGATATAATGGAAGCCAGTGAAAGAGATTGTGTTAAGTAATATGTGTTGACTACTACTGACAAATAAGATAAGGAGGTTATCCATGATACTGAAAGAGAAGTATGAATTAAAGTAGTCGAATTAAGATTGCAGTAAGTTGAGAAATACATGGGAAATAAGGAATTAAAGATAGTCATTTGGATTTGAACAGAAAAAAAGATTACCTAGGGAAGATGTAGGGTGAAAAGCCTTCTTAGTTTTATGTCTTGGGAAGAGGGGGTTGTTAAGATGAAAGAAACCCAAACTTTCAGAGCTGCTGGGAATGAACCAGTAGGGAGAGAAGTTATGGATACCTGGGACATAATCTAAAGGGTAGATTTCTGACAGTGCTGAAGGGGATCTGAACACAAGTAGGGGAATTAAGCTTTAAGATGAAGAGGGATCATTTTTCCATAATAACAGGAGTAAAGAGGGAAAAAAGGTAAGTGGAAGAAAATGTGTTTGTAGGTTTGTTGATAAGACTTTAAGGGAATTCTAATTGAGTGACTCTTGATTTCTCTTTGAAGTAAAAGATCAGATCACCTGTTGTGACTGAGTGGAGATGTTTATGGAGAGTGGAAAAGGTTTGAAATAGCTGCAGAATATTGCAGAGAAGACTAGTGAAATATAGTAGGACTGGCAGTCATTACCAAAAACCCAGATGAAACGAGTGATCTTTCATAGTGACACTAGTCTGCCCTATTCAACTAGGTAGAGCAGGGATTGGACAAGTCTGGGCTGTGGACAAGTCTGACTCATGGCCTGTTTTTGAGAAGTGTTTGAACACAGACATGCTCATTTTCTGTCTATGACTGCTTTGACACTTCAATAGCAAAGATGAGTAGTTGGTCTCAAAAGCCTAAAATATTTACCATCTGACTCTTTACAGAAAAGGTTTGCTAACTCCTGGTGTAGATCAATCTGGGTATAAATGCAGGGAAGGAAGACATTTGGAATCAGCCAGGGTTGAGGTCTTGACAAGTGGAAGGATAAGGCAATGGATTTGAAGATACTGGCAGTGAACCTTGGTATTAGTCCTTGGAATCCAAGCTGCAAAGGAAAAGAAGTGGACAAAAGGAACTGATGGGGTTGGGGTTCTGGGGTTTACTTGGACTTCTTGAAAATAGTTGGAAATAAAGGCTGAAAATGATAGAAATTTGTGGTCATAGAATATGGAAATGTATGATTTTAAAAGAGGAGCAATTCTAGGTGGTGTGTCCTGAGTGTAGTAGCTGAGGTATGGAACTGAGAGGTAAGAGTGCTGGCTAGATCTTCTAGGTAGATGCTAAAGCCTCCCAGAGTGGAATGGAGAGGAAGATGGTGAGCCAGATGGTTGTCTTTTCTTAACCACTTTGGTATGGCACTCACCGGCTGCGAAACCTTGCCAAGAAATAAATAATGTTGTCCTCCACTTATTCTCATCTCTAGGCTCTTTTTTAATATACCAATAAAAAAACCACCCATTCTGTGCCAATGGATGTCTTGTAAGCAAAGTGCAAATTAGTTACCTGCTTGATTGTTTTGATAGAATTTGAATAATAGAAAAGATGGAGTAACAAACTTGCTAGGAAACAAGCACAGGCCTATCTAGTTCTTTTGGAAGAAGAGTGCTCAGTGTTAATTAAAACAACATAACGCGCAAAATTTTGTCGTTGTGATCTAAAAAATAAAGCTTACTCTTTTTTTCTTTTTTTTTTTTTTTTTTTGCTATTTAA